GGCGCCCCTTTACACCAAGGGTCGTGGGAGACTGGAACAGGCTCCCCACACTGGGGTAAATCAAGGGAAGTGCATTTAGGAAATGTGCTGGGGGGGGGGCCTTCTGTACACAAAGGGTGGCAGGAGTGTGCAGCCATTGAAACCCTGGCTTCTTTCAAGACACGGCGGGGGTCGGGGCAATTATCTCCTAAATAATTATTGACCTAATTCAATTAGCTACTAATTATCAAGTGAGCTAGACGGGTTGAATGGCGCCCTCCCCTTTGTGATTGTTTTTATGTTCTGAAGGGTAGTCCATTGTCTTGTAGTTCAGCTTCTTAGGGCTGTGTGGGCCTTCACTGTATTTGCAATCCGATTTCTATTGACAGCCTTAAGAAAGACATGAGGCCTTCTTGTGTTTGCACCGTTATGTGCACCAAACCACACATCGAGTGGGCCTGCCTAAATACCCAGTGATTTGTGTTCAGCCATCTTGGGGACCAGAGGGCAGATGAGCTGGAGACAAAAGTCGATGAGCTGGAGGCAAAAGTTCTGAAACATCAGCCCGACCAATCAGCTGTTCAGAACGGATCACATGACCCAGGGCGGCCAGTTCTGCCGCACGGCATTATGGGTAATGTAGTTCACCCACGGGTCTCCACGGTCTGAACTCTACTCCCTTCTTCCACATGGTCCACGCGCTGACGTTTTTGTTTTTTTTTCCCGCTTACAAGAAAAGTGCTGCTGATCCAAGAATACATTCAGTTCTAATTCAGAATATAGCTCCAAGTACTATAATGTACTGCTTTCACAGTTTTATTACTATATGGTTATAAACTGTATAGTCATGTTACTACTGTAATAGCTTTTGTCTGATTTATAGTGCGGTGCCCTCTTTGTTTTTGCACCTCCAAGTAATGAGAAGCACAGGCAAACTGCTGATTATGTCATTTTATGAAATGGCCAATATATTTTTGTAATTAACTGAACCCCGTGCGCAAGCCCATCTGTCACCACTCCCACAATACAACGCGGTCGATGTGGCTTTTTCGTCCCAAACTGACTTGCAGTCGTTCCACACTGACGCGGTGCCGTGGTTGTGTGTTGTTTTTTTTTGCATTTCAGATTTAAAAAAAAAATCGTTAAGGGGTCCTGGCCTTGCCTTTGAAAACGCCGGCGTCTGCGGCTTTTCCTCTCTCGTTCTGAAACGGGACCCCCCCCGCCGCCCCCAGACACACGTCCCGTTTCTTTCTCGTTCTGCTGAGGTTTTATCCACGCCGAGCTCACTTAGCCTGCCTGCACACCCTGGGGGAGAGGGGGGGGGGGGGGTTAATTAATTTCCCAGTGCTGTCAGAGCGCCTCTGAACTGCGACTCCTCTTGCCCCTGTGACACTGCCCCTGCAGTAGCGTGTGACACTGTTCCAGAGCTACAGGACACATGGATTCATGGCCCTCCTAACAGCCACATCCGAACTGTCAGTCGCTTCCTGCTGGATTTGTGCCG